ATTTCTTATTTTTTTCGGTTTTTTTTAAAATTTTATTTTATTCGTCATCGTGCTACACGATGATTCGTATGTTAAATTTAAAACATCTATGTTACAGTTCGATTCTCTATTCCCCATGTAAAATACTCCTTTACCAGCGATATCAAGAATTGTCTGACCTCTTGGCGCGAACCAGAAGAATGAAAATATACGTATTTTATTCTGTATGTGCGTTTGAGTAATTCGAGTAGATATTCTTAAGAGTAAATTTAGGAAAGTTGATTCGAGAATCTGTTCTAAGTGAATCGTATCGATCTCGTGTACAGGGTGAAACAAGCGAAAGAAACCTCTCTGTTTTCGCCCCTTCGAGAGTTTGCGTAACTTTCTTATCGGATCTTTCGAATGTAGATCCTCGGTAATTCAATTCAACCGATTTTTTCCCACGCTTCAGACGCTCGATCTGTTTCGCCTGAAACACTTCTTCTACAGGTATCGTCGCCTAGATCTTACCTCTATACGCTTTCTATCTTGTCAAATTCTACGTTCTAAACACATATAAAGGGAGCAACGAGAGAACAATGGGTTACTTAACTAATCGGAAGTTAAAGGAACCTTCTTTTCCCATTTTTCACGAAACACCCTGTACACGAATCTCGTCAAGAGTTAAAATTAAGTTGATTTTTTCTTCTTTCTTTGATGTGTATTTTCATCTTACGATCCTATTAGACGGGCTATTCTGATATGTATCGTATTTGTCGTCAGTCGTGAATATCTGGAGGAAAGTAATTAGAAGACGCGTGTTTAGCGTGTTACCGAATTCTCCTTTTCTATCGGTTAGAGCAATATGGAGAATCAGGAACATCGAACCAATGGGGAAAATTTCGAATTTTAACAGACTTATCTTAGACACTTTTCTTCTTCTTCTTCTGTGTAAGGACAATGGGGGATTTGACTTACGTAGACACACCCCCCCATTCTCGCTGATTCACGATTAAGCGTTTAGGCAAAAGGAACTCGCTTGAAAATTCGATTCCCGTGACCGGTGATTCGTTTCTCACCGGAAGTGTACTGTACGACGGATTTGATTTGATCTGTGGCGACTGGTCCGATGCATACCAGAGGATCCTTGAAGTACGAACAGACCTAACGGGGAAAGAAAAATGCGAGAGAGATTTTTAGGCGTAATTTTCTTTCTTTTCTTCTTCTGTTTTTAAATACCTTTCTTGGAGTTTGTCGATGACGTCTCTGAAGTTGACAACACAAGCCACGGCTAATGTCGCACTCCCCGGATATGTTACACTCCTCGTCTGGAAAGAATTGATAATAGAAAGTTGTAAATTTCAAAGTTAAATATAAAAGTTTCTTAGCGAGGAGAGGCCCCTTTGACGTAATCGCGTGTGAATTGACCTTTATCGATTATCATTAAATTCTTTCGCTGGAAAGTACTACGGGAAGCATTGAGAAGGTGTTCACAGAGAAGTTACTTACTATACAGTTTGTTCGAAGTGACTGGTGGCTGACACGAACGAGTTTCGCTACCGGCTATTTCGGCGCACATTAAGCCGGTCTCGCAGTCGTTATCGTTTCTGCACAATTCACCCTGTTTCTGGCCCAATTCGAACACACAGTGGCCAATTACTGAAATGTGCAAGAGTAAGGATCCTTCGATAACCGTGTACGATCATTTCGATAGCATGCTCAACCCTTTCAATCTCTCTGCAGCCAAAGGAAAAAATAAAGAAACAAAGAGGTGACACTGGAAATTTAACGAAATCTAACAAATTAAGAATTCTCTTAAGCCAAAAAGAAAGATGCAGATAAAGATGACACTCGAAATTTAACGAATTCTCTCTCTCTCTCTCTCTCTGTAGCCAGAAAGTTACATTTTCGTAAAGACAAAAGAGAATCTAAAGAAATCTGAAAATTAGGAATTCTCTCTGCAGCAAAAAAAAAAAAAAAGGCTGACACTCGCAGTTTAACGAATTCTCTCTGTAGCGAAAAAGTTGCATCTTCGTAAAAACAAAAGAAAATCTAAAGAAATCTAAAATTAGTTTTCGATTATTTTTTATAAACCTGTGTAACGTTACCTCCGTTAACATTCGCGCAAACAGAACCGGGGCAGCAGTGCTCGTTAGTCGTGCACCTCCTGTCATAGCACGGCTCCACTTCTTCCAAAGGATCGCCGTAAGAATTTCCGTAAGTCGCGGATAACGGACGCTTGAAACGAAACGTATGAAATTAGAGACCTCTCTCTCTCTTTCTCCCCGTTTCTGCGTAAAACTGTGCATGCAATGAAATAATATTGTGGCGCCACCGAAAGTAGAGCAGGTCATGTCTTCGGCTAATCATAAATTAAACGCTTAATGGACGGCGCACACGTTTCTGCGATTACACGTTACGAAGGAATTACGCGAGCTCGAAAAATGTGTATATTCGCGACAATTTTCATTTTCCCCCTCTATTTTTCGGGGAACGATTTCTCGGCCGATATATCTTCGCGTGTTTTATTCTTCATCGAGATTTTTACGAAAGATCGGAACGGTGTTGTGTATACGTTGGTAAGATTTAAACGAGGGATACGAAGTTGCTTCGATCAGTCGTTGGCACGAAGGTAAAATTTAATCACATTTCTCTCGCGAGTTGTGGAAAATGTGATTGCACGTAATGTATATACGGTTATATATGTATATGTATATGAGAATAATATATCGATCGTATCACTGGGGGTCGTACACTGCGGCAAAGTTGCAACAGTTGTCTTCTTTGTGTAAAAAGATATCTCTGGTTGTTTGAAAGAGAAGAAAGAAATGAATTCTATACCTGATACAATCCTGGTTTGCTCATGTAGTCACCTTGGCTACCGTAGCCGAGGTTCGACAGCATTTCCGGGCTGAAACGATTAAAGAGACCGCCCCATGCCTCCGCACCAAAGTGCATCGTGCTCGCCAGAGCGACGACGGTCAGTGCAACACACGTGTGCATTTTCTGGATCATGCAAAGGATAACTATTTGTTACTTGGTCAATTACAACTGGTATTGTAAATCCTCTTCTCAACTCAATTTCACCGTTACATATCGAAATACGGGAACTATCGATGGAATACGAATCAGGGGGTTAATTTAACCCTTTCGCTGTGGTTTTACACGAATTGCAGCATGTGTTGCAATTTCTTAACGCGCGTATATATAATTTAATTGGAAAAAAAGAGAAGACAGTTTCGATGTTAAAAGAAGGGGTAGAAAAAACGAGAGAAGAGAAATGGTCACGACTGTATGGAAATAATTTGATAAATAATCCGATACTGTTGCAAAGTATCTACGAAGAAGGAGTAGTACAGTACGTGTTACGAACGAAACTAAAATCCCCGATGAAACTTACGAGATGTCCCAGTTGTCGTCTTAGGTTGCTCAACTTGCCCGGTGATTCTCGGTAGGATCGAGCAGGAAAGGATCCAGCTGCCCTTTCTTGCCTGTACTCGGGATCAACAAGTCCTCGGTGGAGTTTGCAGGAGCAGTGATGCCAGAATCGTGGGACGTGGGCCAAAGCGCTTACCCCCACTACGACCTACCGCCGTCCCCCCCACTATACCGTCCTCGTGCTCTCACACAAGGGTGGCGGTAGCTCTGTCCGTGTGCGTAGCCTGTTCGGCAATTTCCGCCAACAAACTACGTCACCACGCGACGCTCGAGCAACCAGGAGATTCCCTTTGAATCTCGGTACGACGGGGTGTTACTTTTTATTTTTCATTTCGTCTTACGCGCACACCTACTGTCGATTCTTCAACATCACTTAAACGTTCCAAAGTTTCATAGAAGTAATTTCAATTGCTTATAAAAAATTCGCATTGAAATGAAATATTTTACAGAATGTCATTTTTCCACTTCTAAATTCATCCCTCGAAACTTCGTTAAAATTCTCGGAGGTCAGGTATGCAGTCTCCCTGTTAAGTGCTTTGCACAATTCTCAGAGTTTTTGTTTCACCGAAAAGTTACGAAATGAAATTAGAAAATAATTCAAAATAAAAGGTAACACCGAGATTCAAAGGGCATCTCCGGATTGTTACTCATGCGCCCAGGTTGCTCGAGCGTCACGCGGTGACGTAGTTTGTTGGCGGAAATTGCCGAACAGGCTACGCAAACGGGCATAGCTACCGCTACCCTTGCGTGAGAGCACGAAGACGGTATAGTGGGAGGCGGCGGTAGGTCATGGTGGGGGTAAGCGCTTTGGCCCACGTCCCACGATTCTGGCATCACTGATTGGCAATCTATACTACGTCGTTCCGTTTCCTCTTGTCCAACCTCGTAGAAACATTCGCGCACGCGCGACATCCGACATTTTTACGCACACCACCCAGGCTGACATTTTCTTCATTCAGATTTTCACATCGTAGCTATTCCTTCCTTTACCAATCTATGATACTCCTACGAACAGGTAATAATCGAATTTTTTCTCTACACCCCGACACCGTACAAACTCGTCGAATTACGTGAAAAACGATAAAGTAGCCACGTCGTATCTAACGAATTAACGAGATTGCCGATGTGTGTTTGCTTTGAATCTTCCTGGAAATTTTGTTTGCTTCGTAAATGTAACGTCAAAGTTTGCAGCGACAGGTAGCCTTGAATCGTTAATCAATTTCTCGACGGATGGTTCGAAAGGGGTTGCAAACGCGATACGAAGATCGAAAAATCTAGATTAACCCTTAACCTATGATTTTCTTTCTGACTGCGCATCTAAGCGTCAGCCATTTACTGTTTTAGTACTGTATCAGGTAACAAAAGCTAATCTGTCACAAATTAATCACATTTAGTAATCCTCTGCCTTAGAAATTCAAACGAAAGTTAGAATTACGATGAATTTTTCTTACCGATATAACCATTTTTCTCACATCCTGACACGTTGTTGTAGGTTAAAGGGTTGATCTTTGAAGAATTTCAATCAAATTTTCTTCCGGTTCGATTCTGACTTGATTCTCAAGGATTAGATTTGTTTAAGAGGAAGAAGTAACGTCCAGGAAGGTTACATCCTACCCCAGGACGCAGCAGCGCCATTCATAGGGGCGTACTCTGCTCGCGTAGGTGTCGAGCTCTGTCTTCGTCGTTTCACTTCACCGCCATTGTTTCCGTCTCTCTTGGTCGTATTGATCCAGGGTGTCCTGATGCCTCCTCTACCGGGCGGTCGATCCTGCTCTACATACTTGTTTCCTAGGTGGCCCATTAATAATACCTGCGTACGTGTGTGTTCATGCGATGATAAAGGGAGGATCTTCTCTGGTTTAAGTGGAGCAACAACCATTCGTGTAGTAATCTACTTTTCGAAATGAAATTGTTTATCTCGAAAATTAAATTCTCCCTCCTCCTTCTTCTGCTTCTCTCAGTAAGTACACAATTCTACGTGAAATTGTCGATGAGGTAAATTTGAGATTCCTCCCACGAGGAATTTCTGATCCGAACGCAACTCGTGTTTGCGAATCGCAGTTCTGTTGCTTCTGACACACATGCACGTCTCTGATGATTTCTCCGTAGTAGAGGTGTCTCTGGTTTCTAGCTGCACAACCACCTGTGCCCGGTGTAAATGCCAAAGTATGCAATTTTACGCTTGCGTGTGCTGGGACTATTTGTTACACGCAACGACGCGATTTCTGCATTTTCTTACGTTAACACGAAACAGCTGGGGGGTTGAAACGAAGCGTGGAGATTTACGAAGTAATAATAAGGAGTGTTTTATCCTGGTTTCTTTATTTTCTTTATTTTCGACTTTTCTATCAGATTGATCCGATTGTTTGTGCATGCTCGGGTGAAATTAACGGTTAGTCAGCTGTTTTTCATTGGATGGTTACATTATTCTGGGACAAGCGTCGCGTGCCGATGGACGGACACAGGTTCCGAAGTTCCGAGAAACTTGAGCCAAGTTTTGTAACAACGACACGCCCTGTTTCGTTAATTATCGTCAGGTGGTTTGGATGATTTTTATCGTCCATTTAGAATTCGTTTCGGCTCTCCTGGACGACGAACGTTCTTTCGGTCTCGTGCGATAAGGGTAGAAAGGAAAGTCTGTTATCTCGTATAAAAATGAGTTTAATAAATAACATCTAACAACGAAATAAATAAGGCTCGCAAACTCGTTGTTGCATATGTATATGTATGTATGTATAGCACAACACGTTCGATGCTGGGAATACACATAAATACGCGATCATTTCTCGTATACTGTCTGAAGAATTGCACGAAATAACTTTTTCAGTATCAACTTCGGATACCGATTCGGAGAATTTCTCAACGATCGAGAAGGAGAAACGAGAAGAACGTTGGAATTCCCTGTTCGTTCACCTCTATCTCGCTCTGTCGATCTATTCCGAAGGAAATAAATTAATCTTCCTTTGTACATTTATACAATTGGCACGGAATTTTTTAGTGCCTGCCACCGTGTCCAGGAAACAATACTATTCCCAGACTCACACCCCGGTGATACTGTGTAGCCAGGGTTTGAAATAGGTCGACCTCATGTAGACACCTGGAAGATAGGGTGCTGCACATGTTATTCCATGAGACACGGTTCCCACAAGGAACCATCTTCCGTCTGGTCGTTGCATCACCAGCGGACCACCACTGTCACCCTGAACAAGAATTATTCCACTCGATTACGGTCGACGAATGAAAGTAACGGTGTTGAACTGTGGAAGCGAAATTGTCCTGATACTGTACCTCGCAAGAATCTTTCTGCCCATTGGCATATCCGGCACAGAGGAAGCTGTCGAGGATCAGCTTAGAATGGCCACCAGTTTGGAACATCTCTTGACACACCGAATTCTTTATTATAGGCACTTGAACTTCTTGCAACACAGAGGGTACGCCACCGTCTGGAAAAGGAAATATTCCAAGAGTTATTCGAAGGAAGTAAAGTAGATTAGGAAGGGAAGAAGGTACTCACTGTACTTCAATCGTCCCCAACCTGTGACGGTGGCCATTCTACCGGTGAAATCTATACCATCGTCGGGCATACAAATTGGGACGATGTGAACGTCGAATTGTACAGGTGATTCCAGTTCCAACAGTGCTAAATCACTCTCGAAAGTCGTTGGATTGTATCCTCTGTTAACCACCACTCGTCGAACGTTCCTGGTCATGCTACGTTTCGCCTCTAATTCTCCAGATAAATCGAACTCCCCGAAAACGGCCACCAGAGTTGCCAAGAATCTACAATACCGAATTCGTCAAGATGTAATTTCGACGTTTGAGGAAACCGAGGAAAATGATACTCACCCCGGTTGACAGTGGGCTGCAGTGATCACGTATTTATCGGTGATCAACACACCTCCACATTTATTCTTCGTGAAGAGGCCAAGCCACGTAGCCTCGCGAACTAAAACCTGCCATGGCCATTCGCCAAATGTTGCCGCTTTACCACCGACGATTCTTCCTGATTTCATCAAAGGTCTTATACCGCACTCTGCAAGTTTGATCGTTATTTTCTTAAGGTACAATGTAAAATTGATTCAGCGATACAGCAAAATTTATTCAACACCACTCCAAGATACAGCGAATTTCTCTTTATCACCGATGGACAAAAACTACCGTTTCAGCAATTTTACAACATTAATACTTCTAAATTGACGAACTCTTACGCGAACGAAAGTCACTTGGAAACGTTATTTCTCCACTCGTAGTACTTTCCGCCGCGCTAGACGTGCTGCTCTCCTCTTCGTCGAGGAGTACAGCCTCTGTGCTCGTAGCAGGTGGCGTCGTAGTTGGCCTTTTGGTCGGTCTCGTGCGTTTCGTCGTAACCTGGGGCTTCTTCGTGGTCAGGCCGGGCGACGTCGTCGGTTTCGGTTTCGAAGGACGAACTGGTTTCTCCGACACCGATGGCTTCGAGGACGTCGGTCTGTTGGTCGGCCTCTTCGTGGTCGCTGGCTTCCTCGTCGTGGTGAACGACGGTCTCGTCGTCGACGTTGGTCTTCTCGATGGTTTCTTCGTCGTGGTTGCTGGCCTCTTCGTTGCGGTGGATGGCGCAACCGTCGTCGCGTTGACACGATTGTACATGATATCCTTGAGATCCTGAAGAACGTACGATCAATTAGCGCAATTCCCAACCGTGCAAATTAAATGTGAAAAATTGATACACACCTGGAAGTTTCCCTGGAGAGACTGAACGATTTTGTTCACGAAAGTGTCGACTTTGTTGGTGAGAACGTCGTCCTCGATGAAAGTAGGCGTTGGAATATCGTTCTCGCTGATGATCTCTATGTCCGGATAACCGGTGTTGTTGAAACTCTCGATAATGGTTGGTTTTTCTTGCTGAGAAATCGGCGTGGAGATGTTCAAATTCGGATTTCGAACCGGCGGGAAGTTGATCAGGTCATCGGGAGCAGCTGTTTCCTCGTCGCAGTGTGGCAGAGCTGTCGTCGCTTTGAAATCCATCACAGTTGTCGAGACAGTGGGATCTTTGTAGGGTATAGTGTTAACGGGTGTCGAATTGTCATCTGGGAAGACGATGGAAGGAGTGGACGTTTTCAGATGAAAGCTAGGTTTGCTGGACCACGAAGACATGGTAGTCCAAACTGTCGGTCTCTTCGTGGTGAACTTCTCGAAGGTTTGTTCGGGCTCGTTCTCCGCTACGACAGGCTCTGTGTTGAAGGTACTGTTCACCATTGGCTTGGACGTGGTTCCATCTTTCACGTTGACGCTGAAGAAACTGGTGGAAACGACGTTACTCGTAGCAACGTTCGAGATCACCGTGCTGATGTTGTGAGTTATAGTCGTGGAAACGCTAGGCTTCTTCGTGGTGAGTGGATTCGGCCTGATCGATCCCGTCGTAGGTCTGGATGGTTCTGGCCTTCTCGTGACAAACTTCTGCGTCGTTTCCGTGGTGTACTCTGTACCGAGAGGTCCTAGAACTATCACTGTCGGCGCAGGGGGGCTGGCGGTGGTCGTTTTCGCAGAATAATCGGACGTACCGATGCTGGCGAAGGTGGACTGAGACGACGGTTTCGAAAAATGCGCGTTGGACGTGGAGAACGAAGAATAGGTCATTTCTGTTGGGATAGTCTCGTAATTGTAGTAGTTGGACGACTGTAGTGGTTTGTAAAACGTGTATGGGAAAGATTGAGCTGTGGTTGGACTAGGAATAGGAGGAGGTCTCGTGGAGATTCTGATCAAAGACGGCTTCGAGGTCTCGTCTATGCTGACCCATTTGTTAATTGACGAATTCGGTGTCTTTATAGTGGTACCAGCACCTGGTTTCGTGTCGTTGAGAATGGAGATTATGTGATTGATCGCCAGTTCCTCTTTGTCCACTAGGTCGTCCTTCTTGTTACCCGAGGGAGATTCGTAGGTGATCGTCGGTACTCTCACTAGCTCGTCCTTCTTATCACTGAGAGTAGTCATTGGCGTGGTTGTCTTCTCGTTGCTGAACGATCCAACAGCCTCCACGTTCTTCGTCGACACCCTTTCTTCGATCGTGCTGATCTTCTCGAAGTTGTCGAGAGATTGACGAGGTGGCAGAGTGGTGAGTCGCTGCGTGCTGGCGTACATCTGTACCGCCACAGGTACCTTCGTCATCGACGCTGTACTCGATGTTTGATCATCCATGGAAGGAGGCACGGTATCGCGTACAGACGACGCAGACTGATCTGGGAATCTCACCCATTGAGTCGTCGAGCTGATTTGAGAAGTAGCGTCGTGAGAGGGTCTCCTGGTCTGGATAGGCAACACACTTTCAGTCACTTTCGGTCTCTGCGTATTGCTTTCAGTCGTTTTCTTCGTCTCGCCGCCAGATTCAGCGTTAGGCTTGAACAAATCGTCGGGATTGTTCGTCTCGTTCAACGTTGTACCGTTCTCGTTCAAGAGTATCGTGTCGGGAGAGGTGTGATTACTCTGGCCCAAACCCTGGGAGAACAAGGCTGGAAGTTGGTCAACCGGATCGGCTATCTGAAGTATCTGATCAGGGCTGAGCAGAGTAGTGACTGGATTAACAACAGGAGAATGGTCCTGGTGATTCTGGATGTCGTTGTTCGAGTCAGAATGACTCAACAGTCCCGGTAGACCCAGATCGTCCAGTATATTCTGCTGACCCAACAGAGCTGGAAAATCTTCCTCGAGATGACTTACGTCCGGTTGTATCGGTAATTGCGGTCTCTCGGCATTTTCAACGCTGTCTTTGATCTGCGTTGTCTTGGCGGTGGTCGACGGTGCAAGGAACGTTGATATTTTCGTGTACGTGGCAGGTTGGTTGTTCAAATGATTGGACGCGTCTGGCGGCTCTGTTTTAACTGTACTATCTTGGGATATCGTCATACCAAGAGGCGTCCCGTCCGAGTTCAACAAGATAGGAATATCCGGGACGTGATCGATCTCGTGCACGTTGAATATTTCATCGGTGCTCGGTGTATTTTGAATATGGCTCGGCGAATTTTTCAACGGCAGCTGACAGCACGCGCCGAAAAGGAAGCCGTCCATACACGCGCCGACCACCTGTCCATTTCGACGCGAGCACTCGTAATTGAACATGCATATCGCCGGCTCGTTCGACTTCACTTTGCTCGGTATCGTCGGTTGACATATCTTCGGTACTATTCTATATCCGCCGAATAATCTTCTGCCTGTAAAAAGGAGAAAAAAGAAATCAGACGACGCGGTGTACATGGAAAACGTGCACGTTTTACTATTCGAAGCATGGTTGTACTGTTGTAATTAACCGGGAGGCAACAACGGTTCACGATAAACGAGTTGAAAACGAAACTAACTGGACTCGTTTCGTATTCGACGTGTCGGGATTTTACTGGACATGCAAATCCGGACGTGTTCGTCTCGAATTCTGTCGTCGAACTTCTTAGAGAGATCGGTTGTTTATCCGGTGGTCCCGTGAGTTTGCGAATTTATCGCGCTCTCGTAGCGAGATCTAGGCCGGGTAAGGCGTAATTACCTCGAATTTCGACGAAATTTTCAACATGTCCGCAGCGAGAGAAATACCGTCTCATTAGAAATACCGTCAGCACGAATTCTTTGTGCTTTTATATTTTATAAAAGTCGGCGTTTAGTGTGATCGGTTATGCTCAGGTGACTAAGACATAGGCGAGCAAGCATGTAGGCTTTGCACGTGCCTCCTTATGTGCCTGCATACTACCGATATAATGACCTACTCCGTGAATCGTCCGTAGTGCTTGTCAGGATCCTTCCGGCGTTCCAGATTTTTTATTCTTTTTTTCTTTTTTCTTTTTTTTCTTCTTCGCGGACTTTCGTTTCGGCCCGAACCGTGTGTCACGTTGCCACGTCGAGGAGTTTGAATTTCGATGGATAATCGACCGGTGCAGTTGGGGAAATTTGTAATTTTCTTAACAGATTCATCGCTCGACAGATTTATTTATAAAGGTACCTTGCAATTAAAGAGTATACCTGTTGGCAATTAAACGGACTCGGTCAGATGATCCGTTATCTTTAACATATAAGTTATGAAACAATTTCTCTCGAGAATTCTTCTGCGATATTTCGTTCCACCAATTTCCCGTAACACGTGTAATTAAGAATTGTTCATCGATAATCGGAAGATCGATTTGAACTCTAAACTAATTTGTCCCGGAACGATGATCAGGGTTAGAAAAAAGGGGTACATATTGCGAGCGTTATCGTATTGCTTGCGTAATAAGTTGATTAATCAGTACACCAGACTATCGCGTGCTTCTCCTTCGATTATTATATCAAATCGTTAGTTAATCAACCGAGAAGCGACAAAATCGTGGATCGTCAAGCAGAGACACTTTCGCGATCGAAAGAAGGACTCGGAAACGGTCTCCGCGTTGATATTCGAAAATGCAAATGATCGGTATGTGTGTCAGTTTGTGGCAATACTTGAAATTTCTGTCGTCTATTGAGAACGCGCGAGCGTGCATTCGGAATGAGATACGCGCTTATAAATGTACCGTGGCCGGTGGAATTCGCGACTTTCGAAAGGAAGTGAGATGTAAGTGGAATTCGGTGTCAGTTGTTGATTCCGAAGTAAAAAAATAAAGAAGAAAAAACCGATGAACCCGTGTAAACGGGTATATCAGCGGTGTTTAGACAGATCCTAGTGAAACGTGAAAGTATCAACGGGGCACTCGCTTCCCTACCACCGGCGAACTGTTGAATTCGTAACGATTGCAATTGGAGAGAGAAAAAGATGCCCAAACAACGTGTGTAAGTAAAGTACACACTGTGACGAGAAAATCACGCGTTGGGAGAGTTTGTTTAACGATCTGTTGACATGTGCAATTACGCGAACGATTTACGCGCGCGTTATCGGTGGAAATATCACGGTGAAAAATATCTGTTAGATTGCAACAACCGATGCTTTTCGTTGACCCTTGACATTTCTCCCCGGTTCAGAGCGTATAGTAGGGATATTAATCGATTCGTCTGACCACGGAAGAATTGCCGTCTTTGTCGTATTGATTTATACGCAAGATTGTTTCGTTATAATTTGCGTCGTAAGTGCTATTATACCATATTCGCGTAATAGGGAGAGAATTGCTCGGCGTAAAAGTCAAGGGTCGTCATTTGCATGTTACAAGGTACGATGGTTATCCACGGCGGCGAGATATCGTTTAATTAAAGGGAAATCGGTTTAGAAAAGGAAAGAACACGGTACGTGTTCGTGTGTATCTTTAGATCTATTAATACGGAATTTACCGTGGTGCACGGGTTGCTTGCGTTGCATAATGTAATTGTTACCTGCGGCTTGGGGCGCGTACGAGTGTGAAATGACGGACGTCGAAGAAAGGATGACGAGGAATAAATTGATATTCTTCCCGACGGCCATCTGTAACAGAAAAGTTCGCCAGTTTTGTTCATCGTGGACGGAAAAATTGTGCCTCGCGCGTTAACCAACAGCAGAGACACGTGTACGATATGTATAAACGTTCTTCTCTCTTTTTTTACGTTACACTTTGCAACGAGTGCTTTCGAAACTGCTCGTATTATACGCAACGCACACACGCTATCTTTCATAACGGTACAAGAAATTAGTATCGCGCGTGCGTCGCAAAATCTACAAATCGCCAACGAGCCTCGTATTTTATTTTAATCCGCGAACTATTTATCTGCTGGTTGAGCAAGTAAAATATGCCTGAGAGTGGAATTCATAAAGATGTAGAGTGGTCGTTCGTGCGAAAGAGAGAGAGAGAGAAACTTGTAGAATATTCGAAATCTTTCCATCAAGGGTTGAGACGAACAAAGGAGTGTAATTCACTCTTCGACCAACGATCGATCAATTAAACGCGAACGGTAGCCAGAGAAGAGATTACGATCGAAAGGTACCAAAGAGACACCAAAGCTCTATACTCGCTTTTCCTCATCTCACGATACTCCGCCAGATTTACACGCTCACGTGCACGTGCGTGTCCTGAGAGGTGAGCGCACAGCACACGGTATCCCTACGTGTCCCGAAATCCCGTTACACAGTCAGTCGAGAGACGTTCTACGTATTACGGCTGCGTAATGCTAAACAGAGACAAGAAGAAGCAGGAACGATGATGATGAAGAATGGAAGTGAACAAGGGACAGAGATCGACCGTGATCTTGCATCGATGTAGAGTGAAAGAAGGAAAGAAAGAAGTGGAAGAAGGGAGAGAGAAAGGAAAGGGGTCGTGAGAAAGACGAAGAGAACGAGAAGAAGCTGATCGCTCGAAGAACGTTGCTTCACCAAGCCACCGGTAACCTAGTTACCAATTCCCCCTCAATGTCCTATTCTTCGGCGTTCCTGTGACCTTCTTAAAGAACAGCCACTGTTCGATCCTGCGTCTCGTAACAACCGAATCATTTTTTTCTTTTTTTTTTCTTTATCGGATCATCGTAACGTGAAGGTTAAAGAGGAACGACGAGCGGATAGAGTTGTTCTGGTGGAAATTGTTTCGTTAAGATCGCGTCGAAGGGGAGAGAACTGCGAAGGCTTAATACGTTTCTTCTGAGAGGAATAGTTGAGCAACAGGAATCCAACGGTGTGGAGGAAGATACCGGTACTATCAATTATCGATTCCTCGTGTTCGTTTCGTTTTTTTCTTCTTTCTTCATTCTTGAACGTCGCGAGACGACGACGCCATTACACACACGCGAAATCGCGACGGTATTACGTGCGACAATTCATCGGAGCGGTAAAAATGAAATTTACTCGAAATTCGTTTTCCGTTGGCCGATCGTATCACGAACACGTATCACGCATACCGTGTAGAAAGCCGATCGCTCTCCTCTCTTCTTCGTTTTTCCGAAATTCAACCGAGTGAGTAATTCTTCCGATTACGGTGAAAGTAATCTCGGTGTGTACTCTAAACTGCAATCCGACACGGTAAAAATCGATTAGCAACAGCAACAATGTGCGCTCGTTTAGCTACTTTGAATATGTAATTACACGTCGGAGGCAGCGTCGTGAGAATATTTCACCGCTGATAACACCACGACAATGCTTCCCTTTCGTTGGTCGTTTATTCGCGCGGTATGCAAGCTGTGCCACGCGGAAGTCACTTTCCTTCGAACCGTTCCGTCTACATACTCCTTCTGTTTCGATCGCGACAAAAATACCCCAGCCAGATGATCAACGCAATTATCCTTGACGATCCTCTCCTTCTTTTGCAATGCTCAACAGTTACATTCCTTTTGTTATGTACACATTCACACGATGAATCAAGTTTTCTTCATTTCGACGAGAATTCAACCGATAAACGTGAAACGGGCTGCATGTACACACGATGAATCAAGTTTTCTTCATTTCGACGAGAATTCAACCGATAAACGTGAAACGGGCTGTGTTGAACAGCAACGAAGAGCGATTAATTGAAGCAGAAACTTGGAAACGTAAATGAAACACCTAGGATTGTATAAGGATCTCTAGCTATACGGCATCGTGTCAAGGGAAATACTTAAGGGGAGGAGGATACTGAGAGGAGGACACGATCCTCTTGGTATCTCTCCTCGTAGGTTGCACATGGTAAGAGTCAAAGTGTAAGAGACTCGAGAGGCACGAAAATTCTTCGGCGTTCATTGGCCGTTGGTCAGTGTGTAAGCAGAGAGGTTGTTGCAAGTACGTGAACACAGAGACAGGTATGCATAGGATTCAGCTTGTGTGGAGATGATAAAACCCAGGGAGAAAGCTCAGTTCGACTCTTCTTCATTATTGGATCTGGGTGACCCGATTGTCTTCGCCCCGCCGAGAAAACGCTTCTTCTCGTCATCCTCGTCGTCGTTCTCCTCTCCTGGAATCGGATCTGGCCACGATCATTTACCATCCGTTCCAACTGTTTTTCTCTTTCACCTGTGTATCGATCGTTTCGACAATTCGTAGAATTCCACATTTGAGAAAAGATCGAGCAGAAGAGAGGCTCGAAAGAAACGTAAAAGGAGGCGTGCAACGGTATCGCAAGTGTTCCTCTATGCTTTCACTAGGCGGACCCGTCTACACTAAACCTACGCAATCGTGCAAAACCAATCGGTGTCGAACAACTGGAACGATCGTTAAGCCTATCGTTTGAACGTCCGTAGGAAATAGCGGAAAGTGATAGTCTAAGGTTGCTCGCGAGAAACGTTGACGGTGAAACGACGAAAAACAGCCTGGTCGGTGCCCATGGTAAAACTGGAGCAAAGGAAAAGCGTTCGTCGATGACCACTTTCTTTCCTTGCCACACGTATCGTGCCAAAATAAAGGTAGAGTCGGTGTTGGAACAACTTGAAAGGGATAGTGTGTCGTGTGCATTTTAACAGGCTCGAAAAGTAGTCCCCAGTATGTAGGCCGCGTGACGGCCAACGAGAACAGGCATTAAAGCTAATCCACGCTAGTCACGCTGACAGAGGCTTCCTAGATGCAGTAATAATTACAGGGGGAATAAAGAGCATGTTTAAATTACGTTTCACGCCAGTTGCCACGAGTTGCAACCGTTTATTACGTTACTTTTCCATTGTCCTTGTAATTTAGGTTCCTTCTTCTTCTTTTTTCTTCTCCAACACACGTACACAGGTGCTGCAACCTTGTTATCATTCGACGAGCTATCTCTTTATCAACGAGAAACTTGTTTCGTCTCGTTCAATTATATCCGTGAGATTTGTTGAAATGGA